ATAAAAAAGAATTTGTTTAACATTAGGAAAAATGTTATTCCAAGTTGTATTTATTCATTTATTTATGTATTTCTAATTTTTGACGTGATTAAAAAGCCCTTCAGTAGAAGGCTCCTGGAGAAAGGGAGAGATTATCACACCACCTTTTAATTCTATCCCTGTGCTGTGCTAACACCATCAATATTAAGATCTCACATGGGTCGTGTTTGAAGAAGTTTCTGTGTCAATAAAACTTTAGCTTCCCATCAGACCTTATTCAGTAAATATTTATACCACATACTGGTTGTCTCAAGTCGACTTTGACTCATGGTGACCTCCTATGTATCAGAATAGAACTGTGCTCCATAGAGTTTCCAATGACCTATTTTTTTTGGAAGTAGATTACCAGGCCTTTCTTCTGAGGCCCCTGTGGGTACACTCTGACCTCCAGCCTTTTGGTTCGCAGCCAAGCACATTAACTGTTTGCACCACCCAGGCACTTTAGTGAGTATCTAGATAGGGTTTAGTAAGTATTGATAATGAAATGACTTTAATCAACACCTGCTGTTATTTTAAGTGTTTATTAATGTCTTTAAAGCTCTTCCTTTCCAGGTAGGTGGAACCTAAGATATTATATGTCTGAGCTATAAAGCTATATATGCTAAAGTGATCCTAATTTATTCAGCTTTTATGAGAATAAAATAAAGATATGCAAGGAGAATTAACTTGTGTTGACCTCCCTGACTACTGTTTTCCTGACACTTAGGTCATATTTCATTATATCATGATGAAATCACAATGTCAGCTCGGAGTACTGCTTCTACTTTAGATAGAATTCAAGCCATGTATTAAAAAGGCATGTAGACAAAAATTTGTTTATCTGAATTGTTGTCATAAAGTGAGCTGTGTTTCCCCTTCAGGAGTTACAAAAGAGAATGATAGAGATTGTTTTGTCTGCCTATCCTTCTGCACTTGGTTATCTGTCCCAGTGCTTCACACCTTTCTGTTTGCCAGCAGGATTGTCTTTGATGCTTTTTAATAAAAAATATTGGTAAGGGATTGTTGGTCCCAAAGATGGGCAAACACACAGGTACATGGACTCCTTCTTTTTGAGATGCAATTACAAATAAACAATTGCTCTGCACATGTGAGCCTCCAAGCAGGAAACTTGGATTCCCCAGGGGACTTGTGAACATTTCCCTGATGATGGTGACAGGGAGAGCTTTCTTCCAAGCAAAAAAAATGTGTTGGTGAAACTTGCTCAGCAATAAGGGATGAACTATTGATACACAAAACCACACTGATGAATCTTTAAATAATTATAATGAGTGAAAGACACTAGATTAAAAAAAAAGAGAACATACATTAGGATTCTATTTTTTATAAAATTCTAGGAAACGTAAACTATAGTGACAATAAGTAGATTGGTAGTTGCTTGGGGATATGAGGGGTGAGAAGAAGAAGTAGAAGCAGTGGGTAAATGGGCAGGATTACAAGGGGCATCAGGAGACTTTTGGTATGATGGATTTGGTCATTATCTTGCTGAGGTGATAGTTTGATGGTATAAATAAATGTTAACATTTATCAAATGGTATATATTGTATATGTGCAGTTTATTATATGTCTATTATATCTAGGGGCTCTGGTGGCATAGTGCCTAAGGCATTTGAGTGCTAATCAGAAGGCTGGTGTTCAAACCTATCAGCCACTCCTTGGAAGGAAGGTTGGGCAATCTCCTTCCTTTAGTGATACTGCCTCGGAAACCCAAGGAGGGGTCACTGTGAGTCAGATTTGACTCGACAGCAGTGAATTGGGTTTTGTTTTTGGTATTTATCTCAGGGTGGTACAAATGGTTAACGTACTATGCTGCTAACACTATGCTGAAAGATTAGAGGTTTGAGTCCACCTGAAGTCTCTTGAAAGAAAGACCTGCTGATCTACTTCTGAAAAACCAACCATTGAAAACTCTATGGAGCACAATTCTCCTCTGATGCACATGTGATCACCATGAGTTGGAATTGGCTTGATGGCAATTGGTACTAGTATTTGAGGAGCCTTGATGACACAGTGGTTAGGCACTTACTTGACTGCTAAACAATAGGTTGGTGGTTCAAACCTATTTGGTGCTTCAGGAAAAAATCTAGTGTTTCATAATTCCTTGCCATCTGATTTTTGATTTGTGAAATATCTTTATTTTTTTAAAAAATTATATTTTAATTTTATAATTCTTTTAAAAAAGAATTATATTTTAATTGTCAAGAACAAGAATTTTGGAATTGGGCAGACCTACGTTTCTGTAGTCATTTGCTAGCTGTGTGACTTTAGTAAGACCCTTGATCTCTCTTGTATTTTTTTCCCTCTCTGAAATGAGATAACAGAGCCATAGAAAGTCCTCAAAATTTGGAAGCAATTATTGTTTTTATTTTAATTTATCTTACATTCTAATTACTAGGAAATTTAAAATGCAGATAATCTTAGGAGAGAAAATACAGTGTTTTCTCAGTGCAGGGCATTGTGAAAGCTAGGTTCTTCCTCTGTTCCTCACTGGGCCACCTGCTTTGCTAGGGGACCCTGTCTTCTGATCCATTGCTTTTAGTGACCTCTGCTCTTTGAAGATTTTAGTTGTTTTGAACTCATTTGTCTTTTCCTTTTTTAAGTAATAAGATTATTGTTCAAAAGTGCTATATTTATGAGTGCTTGTTGAGAAATCTAAGGAGCTCTGGTGGTGTAATACCTAAGGTATTTGACTGCTAACCAGAAGGTTGGTGGTTCAAACACACCAGCCACTCCTCTGAAGGAAGACCAGGCAATCTGCTTCTGTAAAGATTTCTTGGCCTGGAAACCCAAGAGGGGTCGCTTGAGTCAGAATAATCTTGATGGCAGTGTTTTTTTTTTTTTTTTTTTTTGGATATTGAGAAGTATTTCCAGCATTTAGCATGTGCGTTTTCTTGTTTAGTAGTAAATCTGCTTACTATCCATCTGTAGGAAAAGTGTTTTGACTTTTTAAAATATTGCTTATATTTAGCTGGTATATCTTATTTAACTTTGATTTAACCTTTTTCATTAACTCAACTCACTGTTGTTCAGTTGGCTCTGACTCATAGGGACCCCTCCTTGGGTTTCTGAGGTGGTATCTCTACAGAAGTAGATTGCCTAGTCTTCCTTCCGAGGAGTGGCTGGTGGGTTTGAACCACCAGCCTTCTGGTTAGCAGTCAAATACCTTAGGCATTACGACTTACAAACTTAATATTAAAAAATAAATATATGTACTGACTGAAGTTTGATCATTTCATCTTAAATCGGTCATATTGGTAATACAGTTCTGGAGCTCTTAAATGTCATTTTCTCTTATAAAAACTAACAGACTTCCCCATGCTCTGTGATAGTGGCCTAGGTTTTTCCCTCTGTCAGATGGTTGCAGTGATTGGATAGATTATTGATTTAGTTACCAAGTGTGCTCAAGTTACACAAAGTGTTTTTCATATTGGAAAAGACATGCCCCATTTTTCACGAATTTTTAGATTTATTGCCTCGCCCTAAAGTGTTGCAAATTAGTTTGCTTGCTATTTATTTTACTTAGAATGTAATAATTGGTGTCATTAGTAGAGGGACAAATTTGATCATGAGAAACAATAGGCTACTTTTTAACATTAGTTGTTTCTTTTTATTTGGCATTTTTACAGGACTGGAGATAAGATGGGTAGACTGCTACTTTCCTTTTACACATCCTTCCTTTGAGATGGAGATCAACTTCCATGGAGAATGGCTGGAAGTTCTCGGCTGTGGGGTGATGGAACAACAACTGGTGAATTCAGGTAGACAAGAATCCAGAATTTCATTTGCAGACACTCTCTTGAAAAACACGGTCTGCATATTAATTTCTTTTCATATCATTTTAATGTATTTACACACTCATGTGGGGATAGCAACATCTATTTCTCTCTTCTTATTGTTCTCTTGAATTGTCTCCCATGCTTAATTCGTAAAGAACTCAGTTTCTGACATCTATTTTTGCTAAAGGAGTCCCTAGATGGTGCAGACAGTTAACCTGCTTGGCTGCTAACCGAAAGATTGGAAGTTTGAGTCTAGTCAGAGGTGCTTCAGAAGAAAGACCTGGTGATCTACTTCTAAAAAATCAGCCATTAAAAACTCTATTGAGCATAGTTCTACTTTGTTGACTCAACATCGACTCTTTATTTTAAATTTTGCTAAGGCTTTTTATTTTTGTGAACACTCTTATTCAGCAATTAGGTGTTGGATTTGTATTTTATGATTTTGTGTTTATTGACATGCTGCTTTTTAATTCCTCAAAGGCCTTTGTGGCATTTCACATGACTGCAGTTTGCCTTCCATATTCTTTAAGCACAAAGCCACTGTGTCCTTTTTGTCCATATTGCATCTAGTATAAGGAAAAGAAACCAAACCTATTGCCATTGAATCTATACCAACTCATAGCAATCCTATATAAGGCAGAGGAGAACTGCCCCATCAGGTTTCCAAGGCTGTAATCTTTGCATAAGCAGACTGCCACATCTTTCTCCTGAAGAGAGGCTGGTGGGTTCATACTGCCAACCTGTCCATTAGCATCCAGGTGCTTAAAGTTGTGTCACCAAGGTGTTAAGTATAATGTCCCAAATTCAGCAGATATCTTGTAAATAGAATAAAACTCATTAAAAGAATGAATGAGACCTATGTTTTCTTAGGAGAAAGCAAGCTCCTTGTTGCAGGAAATATTTAAACAGAAGTTGTCTTAATGTCACAGACACTTTCTAACCAAGTGGAGGGTCGAGATTACCTTTTGTGGTCTTTCCTCATCTCTGTTTCTACAATTTTAAATTGTGTGATTGATTTTAGAGGAAGGAAGAAAAAAAGTGTAAGAAATAGGAAGATAAGGAAACTCCATCTCAAAGATGTATATGCATCTCAATAGAAAACAAAATCCTGGGAGCAAATGTATAAGATTTATTTACTTCTTGAGTAGGAGCTAACCACAGATCCTTCTTGGGTGTTTTGTTTTGGTTTTTAGACAAAAGATTGGATAAACCCCAGGCCTCTCGCTCAGGGAGTGCCAAGTATCAGAGGCCAGAGCTCAGATAGGAAATCAGGGAATGTTCAGCTGACCTTTCAGTTGTCACTTGCAATTGTGTGTCACTGTACATTTTCCAGTATCTTTAATGGGTTTTTATGAGGTTTATTCACACAGTAATTGGCTGAATATAGCCATCTGAAACAGGTTTCCAAGTCATTATTGTGCATTAATGAGACTGCTGTGGTACAATTAGATCAGTCATGTCAGGTATTGTTGAAGAAAATGGCAAAGTAGAAAAAAAATAAAATAAAGAGACTTAAGATCAAACATGTTTGAGAGTTTCATTGTGGTGATGAGAGGTGCTTCACATTGTTAGGAAATTGTACAATTTAAGTTAAATACCTTGCAAGAATGGTAGACTAGATTTCATCACAGACATTCTGTATAGGGTTTGTTATTTGTACTTGAAGTAATTGTGACACAGTTCAGCACTATATTCCCATACTCAAATGTGTTTTGACATCTACTGTTAAAGTTTTTAAACTGTGTGCCTGACAGTCAGTCATTAACCACAAACATTATTCGCAAACATAGCCAATTATCTGTTTTCTGACTTTCTGAGGTTCAGAGGGGGGGTATTGGTGGTGCAGTAGTGAAATTCTCAACCTCCATGCACGAGATCCCATGTTTGATTCGTAGCCAATGCAACTTTTGCACAGCCACCAGCCATGTGTCAGTGGAGACTTTGATGTTGCTGATGCTAAACAGGTTTCAGTGAAGCTTCTAGACTGAGACAGACTAGGAAGAAAGGCCTGACGAGCTACTTGTGAAAATCAGCCAATGAAAACCCTATGGAACACAATGGTCCAATACCCAGCTGATCACGGGGATGGCAAAGGGCGGGCAGCATTTAGTTGCATTGTGCGTGGGTTTGCCATGAGTCAGGCTGACGTGATGGCAACTAACAACAAGTCATAGATAAAGAATGGCCACATGCACATCATCCTTCTACTTTGATTTGCCATTCTCTCCATCTTTCCTTCTGTCATTTTCTTTCCTTTTCCTTTCCATTCCTTTTATTTTCTTGTTCTGCTTCTGCCCTGTTATTTATTTTTAACCAGAACTTCTAAGACATCATAACACTTAACTGATGCATATTCTTCAAGTTCTTCTAGAGGTGCAGAAACCACAGAAGCTAAAGGGAGCAATGATTATAGCTGGTATCAGTTAGATCCTTACTGTAAGTGAGGTACCTCACCAAATGCTTTATATGCTTCATTGCATTTAACCTTGAGGTAGATGCCATTATCATCTCCATTTTACAGCTCCTTAAATAGGTGCTTGGGATCACATAGCTAGATAATGGTAGTGAGAACTGATCAAGTCTTTCTGTCACCCAAGGTAACTACTATGCTACTATGTGCTACTTGAATAGTAAACTGCATGATTTTGAAGTGGCTAAAATTTCATGTAGAATAAATTACCCTACCTAACATAGAGTGAAGAACTGCAAGAAAACAAAACTAGCAAACAGCAAACAAAAGTTTATTTGTTCTGAATATTGTATTAGTCCGTTATTGTAAAAGTTAAGGAAAGATTTATATATTGGAGGACATTTTCTTTGTTGGTTACCAGGGGTGGGAGGGGAGGGGAGGGAATGCTGTTAGATAGATAGAGATAAATATTGATTTGGGT